GACGGCCATGGAGGAGGAGGATGCTGCGCCTCTCGTCCCGCTCCCCACAGCCGGCGGCGGGGGGGACAGCGCGGAGAGGAACGGGGACAGCGCGGTGCTGCCGGGTGAGAGGCCGCGGGGCTGTGGGGACAAACTGGGGGGTTGGATGGTGGAAGTGGTTTTGGTGGGGACAGGGGTGTGGGGACACGTGGTGGTGGTGGTATTTTGTCCCTAAGTAGAGTCCTGTGCTGTGTCATGTCCCCAAACCTTCTTCCACCACTGCGACTCCATTCCTTCTCCCACTGTGACCCCAAACCTTCTTCCACCACGTCCCCATCCCTCCTCCCACCACCTCCCCAAACCTTCTCCCTCCACGTCCCCAAACCTTCTCCCTCCACGTCCCCAAACCTTCTCCCTCCACCTCCCCAAACCTTCTCCCTCCACGTCCCCATCCCTCCTCCCACCACGTCGCCATCCCTTCTCCCACCACAGACCATTGCTTCTGCCACAGTGTCCCCAAACCTTCTCCCATGTCCTCATCCCTCCTCCCACTATATCCCCATCCCTTCTCCCACCACCTCCACAAACCTTCTCCCACCACATCCCCGTATTTCCTCCCACCACATCCCTGTCCCTCATCCCACCACATCCCCAACCCTTCTCAAGGTGCCTCCTCACTTGGAGCCTTGATCCTCTGCTGGGACCATCCGGCGCTTGGCTGACCCTTTCCCTCAGCCACAACTCCTCTGGTTTCCCAGCCCCATTCCACGTTGACCCTCTCTTGGGGATCTTCTCTCTCCCCAACAGATTTGGGGTCACTCGAGGAGGAAGAGAAACGGCAACAGGATGCTCCTGAGCAAGCGGCTGCACCAGTGGACAACCCAACCTCCAGCCAGCAGCTGTCCCCAAGGTCCCATCCCGGGGGATCCCCACTCCCAGGGGACAAGGGGAGGGATGAGGCACCCAACACTTGTCGGGAATGCGGGAAGAGCTTCCGTCAACGCTCGGCGTTGGTGAACCACCATCGCATACACACGGGGGAACGCCCCTTCGGCTGTCAGGATTGCGGCCGCCGATTCAACCGCCGCTCCAACCTCACCACCCACCGCCGCATCCACACCGGTGAGACGCCCTTCGAGTGTCCCGACTGCGGGAAGAGTTACCACGACAGCTCCAACCTCCGACGCCATCAGAAGACGCACACGGACGAGCGACCTTACCGGTGCGAGGAGTGCGGGAAGAGCTTCAAGAACAGATCGACGTTGACCATCCATCACCGCGTGCATTCCGGGGAGAAGCCCTACAAGTGCCCCGAGTGCCACAAGAGCTTCAAGATAAGCGCGGAGCTGATGCGACACGGGCGAGTCCACAGCAGCGAGAGGCCCTTCAAGTGCTCCGAGTGCCACAAGAGCTTCAAGACCAGCCCGGAGCTGGTGCAGCACTGGAGGAGCCACACGGGTGAGAGGCCCTACGAGTGCTCCCAGTGCCACAAGAGCTTCAAGACCACCTCGGCACTGGTGCAGCATCGCCGGACCCACACCGGCGACTGACCCTACGATTGCTCCCAACGCGGGCAGCATTTCGGCAACATCTCCCTACTAGTGCGGCACCAACGGACACGTATCCTCGAGGACGAGATCCCCACCCAACCCATGGGAAGACCATTCTCAACCATCCCGGGCTAGCCCAGCACCGATGGGCGCCCACCAGTAAGAGATTCCGCTGCCCCGACCGCGGCGGAGGCTTCAACCATCGCTCCCACCTCCTGATCCTGGAGCAGAAACCCTCCATTCGCCTGGGTCACCCCAAAAGCTTCACCTCCAGCACCCAACTCGTGCGGCATCGGCAGATCCATCACGAGGAGAAGCCGGAGGGTTGCGCCGAGTGCAGCAAGAGCTTTCGGCACAACTCCGGTCTCATCTGATGTTGTGAAAGACATCGGCCGAAGATGGAGACCACCCAATTGGGGACCATCCACCTCCTGGTGGCATCTCACACCTACCTACATGTGACAGTGGTCCCCGGTGGTGGCACCGAGGGGAAACCAACCCATCCACCCACATCCACCAGCTATTGGGTTTCTTTCCTGATGTGTTTTTATACAGAAAGTGGCTTTTTGGGGGGTGTTTTTATACAAAGCCACCCCCATCCTGTGTATTTTTTTCCTCAACTCCAGATGAGGGGAAGGGAGGGAGGGGAGACCCATGAGCTTCACCCAAGAGACAAGAAATCACGGTAAAAAGGGTTTTTTCTCAACGTGTCGATTCCATTTCTTGACGTTTTCAACCCTATTTAGGGTCTTCTTGATGGAAGGGGCTGGATCAAAAGAAATTCAGAGCCGAAATAAAAGCATTCGCGTGTTGGCATCGTGTGAGCGTCTCTGTGGTGGTGACGACGTGCGGGTTGTGTGGGTGGAAGAGTCTTTTTTGGAGGAGGAAAACTGAAAAAAATCTCCCAATTTTGGGTGGGCGGGAGCATCTTCTGTGCCCGAAAGGTGACAGACCCCTCCGGAATTCTCTGCAGGGGTGGTGGGACTGGGGTGGAGTCCCTGGAGCTGGGATGGGGCTCTCCATCCCTCTCCGTTTCCCTTGGACAAGGATGAGGGTTCAAACCAAGCCGTGGTTGAGGTTTCTTTGGTACCGATGATAGGGGGGCAGCGTCCTGTTAACGTGGACATCCGGAGCCCACGTGTCCTCCTCACCCTCCACCCATCCACGTTGTCGTCCCATCGCTCCCATCCTGAACTCCCATCTCAACCCTGGAGATGACCCGGGGAGTCTTCAAAATCTCGGTTTGTGCCCAACTCCATCCACCATGTGGCTGTAGGAGAAGCCCGTGGTCCGTGTGACGTTGCTTGATGCCACCAGAAGAAAGTATTGGACTGAGCAGATGTGACTTTTGGGGCTCTAAAGCCCACAAGTCCCCTCTTCCTCATGAACTTCTGCTGTTGGTCCGTGTCCCACAGCGGAGCCCACCTCAGCAAATGGGTGTTGGAGGAACGAGCTGGGCGGGGAACGGCTGGAGAACAGCCCAGAGGAGAAGGACCTGGGGGGTGTTGGTGGATGAGAAGCTCACCATGAGGGCGATCGTAGCCCAGAAAGCCACCGGCAACCCGGGCTGCATCCCCAGCAGCGTGGCCAGCAGGGCGAGGGGGGATTGTGCCCCTCTGCTGCGCTCTGCTCTGGGGAGACCCCCCTGCGGTGCTGCCTCCAGCTCGGGGGGTCCCACCAGCAGAAGGACATGGAGCTGGTGGAGCGGGGCCAGAGGAGGCCCCGGAGATGCTGGGAGGGCTGGAGCCCCTCTGCTGGGAGGACAGGCTGGGAGAGGTGGGGGGGTTCAGCCTGGAGAAGAGAAGGCGAAAAAGAGGAGACCTCAGAGCCCCTTCCAGTGCCTGAAGGGGCTCCAGGAGAGCTGAGGAGGGACTCTGGATCAGGGATGGGAGCCGTGGGATGAGGGGGAATGGTTTGACACTGGAAGAGGGGAGATTGAGATGAGATACGAGGCCCAGGTTGCCCCGAGAAGCTGTGGCTGTCCCATCCCTGGAGGTGTTCAAGGGCAGGTTGGACGGGGCTTGGAGGAACCTGGGCTGGTGGGAGGTGTCCCTTCCCATGGCAGGGGAGTGGAACGAGATGATCTTCAAGGTCCTTTCCAGCCCAAACCATTCTGTGATTCCAAGTCCATCCCTACTGCGAAGTCAACGGGCAGGACACCAGCAACATCTTGTGTCCATAAAACCCTCAAGATACAGTCCATAAACTCCTCCAAAACACCAAGATTCATCCAAAACATGGGGCCAGGCTGCATTTGGAGACCCCCACAACCCCTGGAAGACCCCAACAACCCCTGGGAGATCCTCACAACCCCTGGGAGACTCCAACAACCCCTGCGAGACCCCCCCAAACCCTTGAGAGTGTGGAGTGGGGAGGTCCCGGTTGACTTGAGTGCCACCACGCGGCACGTTCAGGACAACCGGGTGACTGGGACCAGCCAACGTGGGTTTCTGAGGGGCAGGTCCTGCTTGACAAACCCCATCTCCTCCGCCGAGGTGACCCACTTAGCAGACGAGGGAAAAGCTATGGGTGTTGTCTACGTGGACTTTAGTGAAGCCCTTCATGGAATCATAGAATGCTTTGGGTCGGAAGGGACTTCATGTTCATCCAGTTCCAACCATCTGGGGTGGGATGGCTCCACAGAGGGACCTGGACGGGGTGGATGGATGGGTCGAGGCCAACGGTGGGAGATTTGGGGGTTGCGTTTCTCTTCCCTCACCCCGCGTTTGGCTTCTCCCTCCCCCAGGAGCTGGAGAACCTCAACCAGGCCAACAAGGAGGTCACCGGGTGGAGCTCCAGCTGGATGTGAGCTGCTCCACAGACCCTTACTTGTCTCCCAACTGGGAAAGCCCCATCCCAACTCCACGGCCTCCACCCCAGCAGCCGCTTCCTGGGGGGACTCCTACCCTCCAGGCACAGAAGATGCTCTCAACCACCCAAAATTAGTGAATTTCTTCAGTTTTCCCCTCCAAAAAAGACTCTTCAACCCACACAGCCACCACCTCGTCACCATAAGAGACACTCACACAACGCCAACACGTTAATGCTTTTATTTTGGCCCTGATTTTCTTTCAGTCCAGCCCCTTCACTCAAAAAGACCCTAAATAGGGTTGAAAACGTCAAGAAATTGAAAGGAGACATCGAGAAACACCCATTTTACCGTGATTTCTTGTTTCTCGGGTGAAGCTCATGGGTCTCCCCTCCCTCCCTTCCCCTCATCTGGAGTTGAGGAAAAAAATACACAGGATGGGGGTGGCTTTGTATAAAAACATCCCCCCAAAAGCCAATTTTTCTATAAAAACATATCGGGAAAGAAACCCAATAGCTGGTGGATGTGGGTGGATGGGTTGGTTTCCCCTCGGTGCCACCACCGGGGACCACCGTCACGTGTAGGTAGGTGTGAGATGCCACCAGGAGGTGGATGGTCCCCAATTGGGTGGTCTCCATCTTCGGCCGATGTCTTTCACAACATCAGATGAGACCGGAGTTGTGCCGAAAGCTCTTGCTGCACTCGGCGCAACCCTCCGGCTTCTCCTCGTGATGGATCTGCCGCTG